ATGCTACAAATCTGCATGTAGTACAATATAATAGTGTAGAGTCTGCTTCCAGAATAGCTGGAAGTTTATCCATGAATTAGTAGACTGTTTTATGCCATTGCTGAAATAACCGGCCTCATGACACAACTAAACTGTTGTTGCTGGTATATCTGGACCATTGCTGCCAAGATAACCGGCCTGCGTTTACTGGCATAACTAGTGTAATGCTTCCATAAAAGCTGCAGCACTTCCATTGATTTAACCAGCCTATTGCTACTGAAATAACCAGAGTATTGTGACTGTAATGACCAGATCATTGCAGCTAAGATGACCGGAGCATTACAGCTGCAATAACTACTGGGGCTAAAATAACTGGGGCATTATAGCTAGGATAGCTGGAAGATTATAGTTGCAATGGCTGTGTAAGCAACTCCTAAGACGCGAGCCCCAGAAACCAACAACACCTAAGACCACACGAAGAAGTAGACAGCGAAGTCCCAAATACGGGACGACACCGAGAGGTAAAGCGGAGGCGGAGTAGACTGCTCGCCGACGTGGCAAGACTAGGCGTAGAACTTATTAGGAGGGATTCCCACAAGAACTCACTTAGAGTCTTGGGGCGTAGATTGCTCAGGTTATATACAAGTACAAGGTGTTTGGTTGAGCCAAACAGTCTACTTACTATGGTAATGACAGTGGGTGCACAGACCATGCTGTGCTGTGTACTACTACTTATGGTTAAGGAATGACGTAGGTATGATGTCAGTCATGACGCGTAATTGTCGTCATCATGATGTCATATGGAATGTCCGGGAATGTCAGAGAATGATTATGTAAGCCGAGTAAGTAAAGTAACCGAGCCGGGTCATGTGACCGGTTATGGAAGTAGCCGGTCACGTGACCTATTGCACCAAGAAGTGAAGCTGCGACTTCAGCGACGATGCGTGAAATGTAAGTAAACGTGAGTGTCATGACTGGTCATGCTGTCGTGAATGCGATCGCGACACTACCCCCCCGTTTAGGCTCCAATGTCCTCATTGACAAATTCGTTGAGCCGCGAGTGGAGTTCAGGCTCAGCCTCTGTGTTGTTTTCGCGTGGTTTAAATAACAAGTTGAATAAGATTGGGTCGATCCCCCGCATCCTCCGCGGAGCTGAGGATCTTTTATTTTGAAAGTCTCTTAATTTAGCTTGAGCATTCCTTAAGTTAGATGCAGGTTCCCAGGTCCTTGCATCGTCATCATAGCCCTTCCAGTGGACTAGATATTCTAATTTGCGCCCGCGCAGTCTAGAGTCCACGATCTTCTCGATTTCGTACTCTGCGTGTCCTTCCTCGTTGACTTCGGTAGGACCCGGGTGATCGGTACGTTGCCCGTCGAGACGATCAATAAATGGTTTGATGCGACTTACGTTCACAACCGGGTGACAGCGCATATGAGACGGGAGTCGCAGTTCTACTGCATTTGGACCCATTAATTTAGTTATGGAGTATGGTCCAAGCCAGCGTTCCGCTAGTTTTCTAGATGGTCTGTCCACAAGATTGAGGTTAGATGAAGATAACCAGACCTCATCTCTGATCTTGTATTCAGGCGCATCGCTCCTTTTCTTATCCGCGGATTGTTTCATCTTCTCCTTGGTCCGTTCCAAGGCCTTCCTCGTGACCTCTAGGGTCTGTTCCATTTCTGCTTTTGTCTTGATCACTGCCTCGACCTTCCCTTCGAGGGGTTCTACTCCCATTCTAGGTGCATAACTCCTAGTAACCTCAAACGGCGATTGACCAGTTGCTGAGGTTCTATTGTTGTTGTGCGCAAACTGCGCCAGCGCTAACCAATCAGCCCACGTGGATTGAGAGTCTGAACAGTACATGTGAAGGTACTTTTCTAGCTCTTGGTTGACTCGTTCTGTCTGACCATCCGTCTGTGGGTGATAGGCTGTGGAATAATTATTTTTAATGCCCAGCACCTTCGCAAGTTCTCGTGAGAACTCGCTTGCGAACTGAGGACCTCTATCTGACACTACTGTCTCAGGTAGGCCATGGTCCTTCCAAATATGGTCTCGATAAAGACAGGATAGTTCTTTCGAAGAGACTTTGTCCGTGGTGGGTATAAATACCGCTTCCTTGCTAAATCGGTCGACGACGACCAAGATCGCAGTGTACTCTCGCGATTTTGGTAATCCTGTGATGAAGTCGGCCGAGATATCCTTCCAAGGGCCTGTAGGTGTCGGCAACGGCTGTAGTTTACCCGCCGGGGCCTTACCCGTGCCCTTGTTCCTTCCACATCTCTGACACGCTCCAACGTACTCATGTACTGTGTCCTTCATGTCCTTCCACCAATAATTACGCTGTAATAATTCCAGCGTGCGTTCTACACCCGGGTGCCCAGCACTCGGGTTGTCATGATGCATGTCTAGCAGTTGCATGCGTAACGTGTGATCATGCGGCACGAATATCTTTTTATTAATATAACAGAGTCCGTCTCTGATCACTATATCCTTATTCTTGATATTTATGAGAGTTATGTCGATGTTTTTTTGATTTTTGTTTAATCGCTGAGACTACGTCCATAGCCTTCAACTTGAGATTTTGTATGCTATGCCAGTCTACGTTCTTGAATGGCTGGAGCACCGTTATCCCTTTATTTTCTTCTCCCACGCCCTCTGCGTGATCCTCTCTCCTGCTCAGGGCATCGACTTTTCCCATGGAAGATCCCTTTTTATAAATAAGGTCATAATTAAATCTGGTAAGGTACTGCCACCAGCGTGCCTGACGTCGGTTGAGGTCTTGACTTTCCATGAAATACGTCAAATTTGCATGGTCGGTCCAGACTTCGAACTTTATATGTGATCCTTCCAAATATTGGCGCCAAGCCTGTAGCGCTCTTAAAATAGCCAAAAGTTCTTTATCATAGATAGGGTAATTAAGCTCTGCCCCTGTCAGAGCATGTGATATAAAGGCACATGGATGCCACTTTTCGTCCTCCAATAACACTGAGAGCACTGCTCCAGTCGCGAAGTCGGAGGCATCGGCTTCTACTCTCATTGGACGGCTATTGTCCGGAAACGCGAGTATGGGCGCAGTTGTGAATGCCTTTTTCAACTCCTCGAACGCAGCATTCTCCGTTGTTCCCCACTCCCACCGCTCATCCTTTTTTGTTAAGTTATGCAGAGGTCTAGCAATTCTGCCAAAGTCTTTGATGAATTGGCGATAGAAATTTGCTAAGCCTATAAACGATCTGACTCCTTTTACGTTCTTGGGTGTTGGCCAAGAGGTGATAGCTTCGACTTTGCTTGAATGCATCTCCACTTTTCCTTTTCCAACCAGGAATCCTAGAACGTCTACTTGTTCTACCGAGAATGAACATTTCTCTGGTTTTATGAACAGATCGTTATCTTTGAGCCTCTGCAAGACTTCTTTAACCTTTTTCAAGTGGGCGTCCTTGTCGCCATCTTTACTAAATATAAATATATCATCTATATATACTACCACACAATCGTCCATATCGCCTAATATATCGTTCATCATGTTCTGGAACGTAGCGGGCGAATTACATAAGCCAAAATACATTACTTCTGGTTTGAAGGCGCCCAGAGGCGTGGTAAATGCTGCCTTCCACTGATCTCCATCCTTGATCCGCACGTTGTTGTAACCCCAACGCAGATCCATTTTGGTGAACAGCTTTGCTCCTTTTAACCGGTCTATGAGATCCCCGATCAACGGAATTGGATAATTATTTTTAACCGTCCATTTGTTTAAATACCGGTAATCTTGCACCATTCGCTTTTTACCGTCTTTTTTGGGGATGAAGAACACAGGAGAAGTCTGCGGAGATTTGGAGGGTCGGATGTACCCTTTGTCCAATTCTTCCTTGATGAACTCTCGGATTTCTCCTAGTTCTTCTTCCGAAAGGGGAATAAGCCTCCCTTTTCTGGCGGTAAAACCGTCCATGAGCTCAATGGCATGGTCCCATGCTTTTCGCTCTGGCATGCGTTCTGATGCGATTTTTGAGAATACCGATAGGTACTCGTGTAAGGTCGGAGGTACCAAGGCGGCGGGGTCATCCTGTGTCTCCGCTCCATTGGAATCTAGGTTGTCTTCGATCCTGCGGATGATTCTATAGATAGTTTCGGCGGAATCAATCTCTGAGTTTTTCTCCGCCTTCCTCCATTTGGGTTCGGGCCACAGTTCGAAGCAGTTGTTTGGACACCGGGACATTTTGACATCGCCGGTTTCCCAGTTGATCTCAGGGTTGTGATGTGCTAACCAATTGAACCCTAGGATCATGGGCATCTTTCCCAACTTGGTCACTTCGAAGTGTGCCTTTTCTCTATGTCCCTTGTACTCGATCACAAGATCCAGCGAGTGTGTGATACTACCTGCTGTATTCTTGGATCCATCCACGTTGAATACCGTAATGGGGTGTTCCTTCTTTGTGAACTTGAAGCCCTGCTTCTTGCCCCAATCCCAATCTATAAATAGCCCTGTGGCTCCGGAGTCGAGTAACGCTGAGCAAGCGATTTCGCGATTCTCTTGTCGCACAGTCACGGGCATAAGTATCTCTCTGTCCATATTGTAAGTCCGTATCAATTGTACAGGCGGGGATTTTATAGAGATAGTGTCTATAGTAACTAATTTTTTATTTATTTCTTCTATCGGGGAATTAAGCACGGATTTCCCACCGCCGAGCTGAGTCTCACGAGGTTTTTCATTTTCAGGGGCCTTGGAACTCTCCATACATCGACTGGCCAACGGACCGGGGGCCACACGGTTATCACACCGCTTCCAGCCGTCTCCGATGGCATCTAGCTCTGTTCTGGAGCTAGCCCCTACTGTTGCGTGGGCGACGTCTGACTGAGGATAAATACTAGGCACTCCCCTACTTCTTACTTCTCGCTGCGCGATCTCAGACTCCCCTTGGGTATGCATGCCCGAGTACATGGTACCTATTATAATTAGAAGTGTCTTTTAATGCTACACAGTCCGAAAAGTTCGTAGAGTCCCGATTACCCTGCTCATCGGGGCTCATTATCCGTTTAAAGATTCATAGTCCTTAAAATAGGCCCTAGCGGCCTCGAAGTCCATGTCCTTTGTAGCCGCTTGCCACCGTAATGGGGTAGCACTGCTACCGTTTTGTGCCTCTGCTGTCTGAGGCTGCGCGATTAACTGACCTGTGTTTGGGTCGTATAGAGCACGGGTTTGATGTCCCGTGGCGCCCTGTGGGCAACTTCCTTGCTGCTGCTGCTGCTGCTGCCGTGGCTGGCCTCCGCCCTTCCTTTGCGGGCAGTCCCGCGCAAAGTGTGGGCCTTGGCAGGTAAAACACCCTCCTCTAGGGCCACTACTTGACGATGCTTGAGTCGCCCCGATATTCATCGGTTCCCCCATGTACGGGGTCGCCCGATAGTTTGCCGTTGTGTTTGACGGCCTCGGCCCGTAGTTGACCCTCCTCTTCCCGATCGCGATATTGTATTCCTCGATTCGGACTCCAATGATATGTGTGGCTTCGTACACCTTTTTGAAATCCGCCTCGTGTTGACCTCCCACCCGGTATATTTCTTCTCGGACGGGGTTGCTCATGTTTTTGATGAGCAGGTCGATCGCATGACCGTCTTCCACCTTGCCTTGTTCCTTCAGGATGAAGAACTCAGCCAGCCACTCCTCTACTCTCCTTTCTCCCATGCGGAGACCCAGTAGCTTCTTCCGAGCCCAGTCCTTTGTAGAACTCGGAAGGAAAGCATCCGAGACGAGCTTGAGCATATCTTTCTCGGTGGGCCATGGCTCGATCCCGTCACTATACAAGTCGATGTGGTATTGGGCCCATTTGGCCGGGATCTTGCCTTTCATCCGTGTGAGGATGGCAGAGGTTTTGTCAAAGTTTGTTGGTAGCGCGGAGGCGTTGGCGAAAAGCCATAGCCCCATTCTGCTCTTCCAGGGAGCAAAGTTGCCTGGTTCTCCGTCAAAATCGCCGGGATCCTTTACCCCGACGATCTTCTTCTCGATGGCAGCGGGTCCTGGCTGCGAGTGTTGGATGGCCTGATAGGCTGCCAGCTGACCTTGGAGACGCGAGATCTCTGTTGCTTGTGCTTGCGCCAGATCATGTGTTGCCTGGCGCTGCCGAGTCAGCGCATTGATCTCGTCTTGGGCGTCCCCAAGGTTAGACTCGAATTGAACCTGCATCCGGTCTAATTGTCCCCAGATGGTGATGGTCTGCTCGAGGTTGAACCTGTCATAGGGGGTTGTCGGAGGAGGCATTGTTCGTAACAGTCCGAATGTTCAAGCCGAAGGATGATATAAAAAGACAAATATAGTAGACAGCGTCGGGCCGCTGTGACTCAATTGGGGCCAATAGCCTTTCCCCACACCAGGCTATAGTAATGAGAATACAGGAGATACTCCAAACAACGAGATGCACAGGTGACTTCTGTGTCGTTGCTGGCGCGAACGTCGGGCGGGCACAGGCTATCCACGGTGTTAAGCAACACTTCGTGGTAGTGATTCTAGACCCAATTGGGATCCGATATATCACCACTCCTATAGACTAAGAGCAACCTGCGTGGCCTCCCTTTCGATAATATCTCGAGTGAAACGCGGACCCTTAGGGAAGCTGCTCGGCTAGCCCCGGTACGTCGTTCCTGACCACAAAGCCTCCAAAAGCTGTACTAGAAGGAGTCGCGGTGTGCAGGTCTTTGAGGACCGCTTTAACCACCGGTCTCTACTTCGTTCGAACCTCGGGATGGTGGCACTCGCTATCTACTGTCCTACTGCCCTACAACAAGTGCGCCTCATGAGGACGCGGCCGAAGCCAAAGAAGTTGAAAACTATTTTATAGAGGTGCAGTCACGCAATCAGGAGCCTCGCGGTTCTCCCTGCCTCTCGCTTTGCCACCGGCCTAATGCCTGGTACGTTTAAGGGCCTAGTGCCCAGCTCTTACGTAAAAGGTATAAACGGGGTCCCGAAGAAGCCGGCTCTCGGCGGTACGTAAATAGGTGCTCCGGCGAATACGCCGCCGGAATGCGGCAAGGGTTGGTTTAGGGGGTAGAGGGAAGTGAGTTCTTTTGTGAGCGACTCCTAAGGCGCAAGCCCCAGAAACCAACTACACACGAGTTCTCGAGAAGGTAGACGGCGAGGCCCCAAATACGGGACGACGCCGAGAGGGTAAGACGGAGGCGGGATGGACTGCTCGCCGACGTGGCAAGACTAGGTATAGAACTGTAGGAGGAATTCCCACAAGAACTCACTTAGAGTCTTGGGGCGTCGATTGCTCAGGTTATATACAAGTACAAGATGTTTGGTCGAGCCAAACAGTCTACCTACTATGGTAATGACAGTGTGCGCACAGACCATGCTGTGCAAGGTACTACTACTAATGGTAAAGGAATGACGTATGTATGATGTCAGTCGTGATGCGTAATTGACGTCATCATGATGTCATATGGAATGTCCGGGAATGTTAGGGAATGATTATGTAAGTCGGTAATGTAAAGTAGCCGAACCGGGTTATGTGACCGGTTATTGAAGTAGCCGGTCACGTGACCTATTGCACCAAGAAGTGAGGCTGCGACTTCAGCGACGATGCGTGAAATGTAAGTAAATCGTGAGTGTCATGACTGGTCATGCTGTCGTGAATGCGATCGCGACACATACAGACTGTGTGTAACTGAAATTGACTGAAATTGACTGCAATCTGACGGAGACCAACTGAAAGCAACTGAAATTGACTGTTTATTGTTTCATTTGAATATCTGTTCATTTCATTTATGTATTTGTGTCAGTCGCTATATGTCTGAGTCAGTCGGTGTCAGTCATTCTCTGTCTGGGTGGTGTCATGCTCTGATGCACTCTGACTAGTATTTATGGTGTTGATCTACATTACACTGACTAGTAGCAACTGACTATGACAGCAAGTGGTCCCAACATTGGCGCTGATGGTCACTGTGCATTACTCCATCACTCACAGTTGTTTTCAGTCAGAATTCAGTCGCTGTGTGTTGCTATCAATTGGATTGATCTTCACTGGGACTGAACCATTGTCCTCCAGCAACCAGTCTAAAATCCAGGTCAACAGGGTATAAAAATGTTCAGCCAGGCAGACTCACCCAGTTGAGCTGGGGGACAATCAACTTGGAAACTCTGGACTGCCTTTCAGATGGCAGCACCCGTCTCAATGAGTCCTTGTTGCCCTTTTTTGGTTTTCTCCAGCACTTTGCTACCCGATTTACACTGCAATACCTTAAAACCCATGAACAAAAAACTAGCAATCCTCGCCAAGTTAACCACGTACACTGTTGTTTCAACAGGACTAATTCCATTCAACCACTGGCTTTTCTTCTTTTCAATTGAAAGTACTGTGTGAGCCAGGTTGTTGATGCTACCCCACCAAGCAATAAGAAGGAAATCTACTATGGTATGTGGACACATACCTTTAAAAGTTTTTTGCTTGTTTCCTGAGCATCTGGTTGCATGCCTGCAATAGCCAGCTTTGACATTGACTTTGCCTTTGGCTTATCAGCATCCATAGCACTCTTTTTAGCCAGTTAGAATGTGTAGAATGTGAGTATGCATCTGCACAGTATCAAATAACATTACCTTGGTTGCTGCCTTGCTTGCCAACTCACTCTGTTTGGGCACCTTAAACAAGGCAGCAGGTTTGTCTTTGGCATTGGCGGGCAGCACCTTGAAGGTTGCCTATAAAGTAATGAGCAAGAACATGACCATGTTACAGCATTTTGACTCACCTGGAACTCAGCTTTTGCTGCCAAGTCATTTTGCTGTTGCACTGCAAGTAATGCAGAAGGTGATTCTTTGATATTGGTGAATGGTGTCTCAGGGATAACCTATAAAGCAATGAACAAAGATATATGTATTAGTAGTAATTAGTATTGGCAATTATTTACTTTTGACTCCGCCTTGGTCACTTTCTTCTTCTCCTTGGGTGCTTTGATGGTCCCAGCAGCTGCACCCTTGAAATTGGCTGGTGGAGCTTTAGATATTGCCTGCAAAATTGTTACCATAAGGAAAAGTCTTGGTTGAAATGAAGCTGCTCACCTTGGGGACCACTTTGATCATCTTGCCCTTCCCTTTGGGTGCCTTGACTGAACTGATGGACGCATCAGCCAACAGAGCACCAGATGTTGTTGCTGGTGTCAACTTTGGAGTGTGAAGCTTCTTTTTTGATGGCTGGGCCTGGGCATCTTCAGCCGTGGCCTTGCACTTCTTTTTCTTGGGTTCCATGTCCTAAACTACACTCAGCCTGTTGAGAAGCTCCATCCACTAGGTGTTGGTCCTAAGGCCCAGGGATAGAGCCTTGAACTTGATGAGCAAAGGCAATTCAATCCTTTCTCCTTTGAGCATCTCCAGAAAGGATGGTTCAAATGGTTGAGCATTATAAGTAAGGGCACTAAAAAGTTCTGGGACCTTGACATAAATGCTGTTCACTCTGTCAAGGTAAGCTGAAAAAAATTGGATGTGACCCTTTCACAGTGGTTGGTCTGATAACAACTCAGAATGAAAGGGCCTACCAGCTTGATGCCCCCCAAGCCCTTAAACCACTTCTTAACTGCCAGGGAAGCTCTGCTGGAGACTGACCAAGGTGGGCCAAAGCAAATAGAATCTGGCCATATAGAGCATCCATGGTTGCTTGGAAGTTGGTGTCCTTGATGAACTGCCCTTGCTGGGAAAAGCAATTCCTTTGTTAAGGAAGGGAGGAACAGCAAGGGATCTAAGTTTTTTGGGGGGCACGGTGCTGCTACATGAAGCTGATGTCAGAAGGGAGGGGAGGACACTGGACTTACTTGATGCCACAAAGCTCTGCTATTTATACACTTGCCAACTTATGCATAAGTGTTGCAGTGGTATGGCAACTATTGCAGTGGCACAGACACACTCAGGTGAGCTCAGCACCTGCAGCACCTGAGCTTTTGTGTGGGAAACTGTGTCAAAATTTGATTCTTCAGACTACTTAGATTGTGTTTGTGATGCATCAGCCCATCTCTTTTCCCCCCTGCACTCATCCACTCATGGCCAACAAGCAACCCAGCAAGACAAAAACTGGTAAGTCCTCATTTCTCGCTTGCCTGCACCTACTAACTATGGATAGTAGGTACTCCTCATATAGCCACCACCAGTACTGCTGCCTCTTGCAAGGTGGTGGAGGCAGTGTGCACTTCTACTCCCACTTGTACTAAGTCCCAGGGGGAAAAGGTGAAGCAGCCCTTTGTCTTCATACCACCCCTGTTAAGTACTAATTTCAGTAAGGGGCCAGTTGGGCACAGTGGCAATGAGGATGAAGAGGGCAAATGTAGTAAGGAGGAGATTGGTGAGGGCAATGAGAGCATCAATAATGTGCCTGCATCTACTATCTCTGGAGTCAAGCCAATGCAAAAGCACATTTTTTGCTGCTCTATTGTCTCTTTGTGCTTGTCATCCATTGCCCCTGCATCCAGTCCCCCCCCAACTCAGTCTACCTTGCTTGCACCCTCTCCATCCAAAGGCACTGCTGCACCCGCACACTCCCATCCAAAGGCCCTACTATGTCTGTGCACTCCCCGTCCAAGGGTTCTGCTATGCCCGTGCCTATCCGCATCACCACCCAAGCAACAGCACAGGACAATGTGAGTGGAAGTTATGAAAAAGCAGCATTGTTGAAAATGCTGAGGGCAATCAGTGCAGTGCAGTTGCTCAAGGGGGGATGGCATCCCTAAAGCACTGCAACTTGGCCAACAAGGATTGCTCCCAGCACTCTGAGGACAAGGATGAGGATGATGAAGAGGTGATTGAGGTAGTCTCTGGTGGGGTGGCCCTGCCCAAGAAGAAGAGGAAGATTGCAAGTAAGCATCTACTCCATTTCTTTTGGTGCCTGCCTTACTCACCCCAACACTGCTCCTCCTCAGTAGTACAGCTGGAGGAGTAGCACAAGGGCACAATTGACTACAGCAGCAAGTCTGACAAAGCTGTTGCTCACTGCTCTGCTCAGTCATTTGTAATTCCCTTCTTGCTGCCCTCCCAACAACTCATCCTCGTGTTCAAACTTTACAATTCCAGCTACATAGTGTTGGCCCTGTGCCTCCCGCACGCAGTTCTGCTGCCATTGTGCTGCAATGCGTCGGGATGGCATGCACACCAAGTCTCAACTCCCACAGTCCACATGGACATAGCTCGAGGCTTTGAGTTGCTGATGCTTGTCATTGCCACATCTTGCCTAAAGTCTGTATCGTTGATGCACTTTTTAGCTGAACAACATTAAGGGCCCTCAGTGATTTTAACCAGTATGATAAGTATAAATGGCTAAACAACAAATGAAAGTACTCAATAATGTTATTAGCTCACTCAGTGGTGACCTCTAGCCTCAAATGTGTGCTACAAGAGCTCAAAATCACTGATGTTTAATGTATACTGTTTAACTGCCATCATGCAAACAAAGGACAAGATACAGGGTCAATTCATTCTGGAGTGTTATGATGCAAAGGTGTGCAGCTGCTGGCCTGGGGAATGCTCTTTGTGTCCTGGACCTTTGCTTTGACGCTGTTGATGGCATCCAAAGACCTCACACTTCCAACATGATGGTCTTGCCAGTGAAAGTCTTGACAAAGATTTACACACTGCTGCTGAGACAGAGGGCGAGGTGCAGAGGCGCATTAGTATTGAGCGGAATTGTCAGGAGCCACTGAGCCTGTCCAACAGCCCAGTACTGCCTTGGGCCCATCTGAATGCTTTGAATATTGCAGAAAGTCGTGGTTACCAGAAGTTCAGCAGGGACCCTTGGCGCGGCTTCAGCGTGGCTTCGGCAAAATCCACGCCACCCACAAATCAAATCAAATGTGACTCCCATGTGCAACATGCCATGGCCTGTATATACTTCACTTCATATCTACACTACACCATGTACAATATTCTATGGATGTTCGGGACCTCACTCGCCTCGCCCACCGGTACCCTGTAATCAACAAATTCAAGTTCAAACAAATTGCTCTTTTCATATGTCTTGCCACTGATTTCAAGCATGACATTGCTGCTGTACACCCTTCCTCTTGCCCGACTGAAGACTCGCCGCCTCCTCTCCTGTCCATTGTACATGCACAGTATCTCTGTGAGGCTACCTGCATCCCATATCCTTTTGCTCAGACACTCTGGGACATTGCAAAGAACAATGTGTGGAGCATGCCCAGCGCCAAGGACCAGAAGAGGGAGATAGACAAGCTATATAAGACACTGGGATGGCATCGGGGCATCAGTATGTCTCATCTCCATCATTTATGATCCCTCTCTAATACTACACTCAGCACGAACGGCCCTATGGCCTCACAACACATGGTGTAACAACTACAGCTGTCCCAGACAGGGAGAGCTTTGCCAGCTGAACTTCAAAGAGGTTGTTGTTTTCACACTTGATGGTGTGCAGCGAGCAAAGGTGGCTCATCTGTACTGTCCCTGTACGTCTTCTTGCTCTACTCACTGGCAGCTTACTGACTATACACAACTAGCATGTTGCATAATGTATTGCTGTAACTATCGCATCCACGACCAGGTGTCTACACACACATACTATGATCATATACCCAAGTGGATTGAGATGAATGAGCATCACTACATTGAGACAAAACTAGTCGAGGAGTGGACTAGTGCAATGGTGATTAGCGCGTACATTTTCCACTGTTCCGTTTCTCTGCATTTCTCATATTCTGACACTTGTTGGTTTACAGCACTTCCGCCTCAGCATGTGTGAAGCAGTACATGAACATGTATGCGCACAGGGGCAGTTACTATAATCCTGACTACTTCACACAGCCTCACCTGACAAAGGTTGACACCGGTGTTCGGTTCAGCCCCATATTGACCACCGAACAAGTCTGGGATGCTTTTGTTATACTTGCCCTCCTCCGCGACCACCATTTCCACAGTTTTGCCCTCTCTGTTCCCAATACTGGCTTGCAACGTGTCCGATTCAACGGCGCTATGGACTATCGAAACAAGTGGATCACTCCATCACTATTGCAACGGATGTATGCATATCTGGCACGAGGTTGGCAAAGATGGCCTTGATTATTTCAGTAAGCCGCCTTAATTTTTGTCATGGCAGAATCGAGCTTATATATTCCCAGAAAAATGTCAGGTTGTTGTGTCTGATGGCATTACAATGGAGTGACCTTGCTGCAAGGTCTTTTGATGCACAATCCCTCTTGCCCAATCCCGAGACCACTTCTGCCCTCAACACAGCAAACTCGCCAACATCTGCGCTGTCGACGGCTGTGACAGCCTCATTGTCCCCACAGAAGGCATGAACCAGACATGCTCCAACCCCGTTCACCGCATGATGGAGCAGAAGGCAACTGAGCATGGCAAATCTATGTTTGCACTCACTGATTGTCTGGCTCGTGCTCGCACTGCACACCCAATGGCTGACAATGACCTTGCTGGTGACACCATCCCAGATGGTGAGGCGGAGTTTTTGACCTTGACGAGAATGACCAGCTTGTCCAAGTCATTGACAAGAACCCTGTCAATGTTGGAGTTTCCAACATGCAGTCACAACAGCCAGTATGCCCCAAGAAGGTCCGTTGTCCAGGTAAAATCCTGTTGCCTCACCATTGTACATGCTGCAAGGTAACTCTTGTGCGACCATGCGGAATCATTCTGGCACAGGCAACTTTCAATGGCGCTGAGGGAGTCTCTAATGTTTTGGTAAGTCTACTTGTGGTCTGCTATGCTGTGACCTAACAGTCTGCTTTCAGGAATTTGCAAAGCACGTTTTCACGACCCCAGGAGCTCGCAAACCCAAGCACTTCATCTACGACACAGCCTGCGACGTACGACAGCAGGTTTTGGCAAACAAGGATGAGTTCTGGCTCCTGGTTGGCATGTGTGTCGACATCTACCACCTCCAGAACAAGCACAAGAAAACACATACATTCTGTCAAACACACTGCAACCTGGCAGACTACCCCGAGCTCAAGTCAGAAGACGGCAGCGGATGGTGGTTCAACACCTCCATTGCTGAGCAGGTAAACGTGTGGCTTGGCAGGTTTCGCTCAATTGTACGTGAGATGCTCACCATCAAATACAGTTTCTTCCTCAATAAAATGATACGCCTTCGCAACCAGGACACTGTTGAGTCACTGAGGAGAAAGGGTCTCAGGCCAGCGTATTCTCCATTCAAGCGGTAGTCAATAGTACATTGTTACTTTCTTTATATTGTTCATCCCATTGATTTGTCACTAATACATGTTTATCCTCAAACTTGTGTTGTTGGTGGTCACGTTGAGCCTGGGTACGTACTTGCCACATGTCAGTGAGCGCAATCACATCGACAAATGCAATGTGGAGTGAGCATGGGCCAGGAGCCCAACATGTTAGGCATGTTGAAGTGTGCTCGTGAGCCTGTCCCTGCCAACCTGCCTGAGGGCAAGACTGGTCAAAGCAGGGACTCGGACTCGACAAGCACGACAAACAAACACGACAAACACAATGACACAATAAACGCAGTGATGCAACGAGGCAACAACATGACAAATGCGGCGAGCACGAGGGCAACGACGCAGCAAACATGGTGATGCAACAAACACATTGATGCATTGAATGCAACAAATGCGACAAGGTGTCAAACACAACAAACACGTCAATGTGATGAATGCAACAATGCAACAAATGCAACAAACATGACAAATGCAACAACACAATGAACATGATGATATGATGGACACAACAAATGCAAGGGGACAAGGAGTGTGAGGGAATGAGAACAGACGACACAACAAATGCAATGATGCAACAAATGCAACAAATGCAATGAACGCAACAACGCAACAAACGCGAGTACAAGATGAACATGATGAACGCGATGGAGCAATGAACGCGATGAACGCGAGGGGATGAGAACAATAAGATGAGGGCGACAATAGCCACAAGGGTGCGTACCTAGGCTCCAATACACGCCGACACACTGTGTCTGTCTCCCTGTCGTTTACATCCTTTGCTTCCTTGTCCCTCTGTGACACTGTGCTCATTGTCACACTTGTGGCTGAGGCGTGTCGTCAACACGGCCGCTGGGATGTAGTGGGTGATGGGGGCAGTTGTGAGAAAGAAAGGTGCAAAAGCACACACAGTACATATCAAATTAATGTAAGGTATAAAACATACAATAGCGATGTGAATTACGACAGAAGAAGTGATACTGTACTTAAGGAAGATCATCAAGTTCGCGCTCTGCCATGGCTATAAGGGCTTCAAAGTCCTCTTCCTCCTCCTCATAGACAGCAAGCCGGGGCTTGCAAGGAGCAGAAGTGTTGACAGTGAGGTCAATCACAGTGTTCAAGGGAACCCTGAGGGCGGGTGGTCCTTGGGACTCCTCATCCATGTCATCAATAATGATGTTGGGCATGGTGGTTGACCCGGGCCACTCGTCCTCATCCTCTGTGTCTTCAATGATCGTATTGGGGTCTGCTTCCGTGCCGTTGCGCAGGCCAATCATAGTGTTGACGACATTCCAAGCGGCTGAAGGCTTCATACCTTTCTTGATGAGATGTTGCTTTGCTGCTGGCGCAAGCTTCTTCCAACACGATCGAGTGTTTGACACCGTGGAAGCCTTGTACGGTACTCCAAAGGTGTGCTTGAAGCGTGAGTTGGCGGTGGAAAATTGAGCCTTGAGTGCCGCATCATTCTAGAAGTCCAAGAGACCACGCTCGACATTGCAGCAAGCCCACCCAGAAGGCCACGGGCGGCTGATAGACATGCCTGGTATGCGAGGGATTGGGTACTTGGGCTTTGTCTGCTTCTTGACCACCGGCTGAGCCTCACGGGTGCTTGATAAGGTTCTAGGGGAGGGCAGTGCAGTGGATGGTAACAGGCAAGGAGAAGGGGTAGAGGCAGGTGGCGAACCGAGCATGAGGTCAGAGCCAGAAGACTTGCTGGAAGCACTCGACGAGGAGCTCCCAGAAGGCTGAGAATCAGGGAACGCCGGTGACCAGGGACCCAGCAAGACATTAGAGCACACAGGAGATATAGGGCTGTACTGCCTCTTGGGTGCAAAGATGGTGTTGTACCGGATGGCGTACATGAGGTCTGGGGTGTCTTGTGAGGGCCGGTAGGTATTGTTGTCCGAGTCAGTGTCGGGATCACCAACAATCTCGATGTCAGGTGACAGTGCTCGCTTCTTTCCCTTGAGGACTTCACAGGTGTTGTCGCACTCGGCCTTGAGGTCCTTCATCGCATGTGTCGGCACTCAAACATTGACAGCGATCTCGCCCATGCACCTTGTCACACCAAACAGGCGGAAGGTCAAGGTGGTGCCAGGCTTGACAAGGTGCAAGACCGATGCCTTGCACCACACCCAGGATCCCATTGTAGACTCCTTGATTTCAATGGTGGAGTTTGTTTTACCACTAAGGAAGTCACCAAAGACAGAGTGAGTGCTATGAAGGTAGTTGCCCAACGAGAAGTAAGGCCAGGTTGATATGTTTGCGCTCATGGGAGAATCTGACGCATCGCCTCCCTGTAGTATTGCCCGAGCTGGTTCTGTATCATCCTGTCTCAGCGAGCAATGATATATGTTAGCAAGAGAATAAAACACAAAGATAAAATAGATGTACCTTGTAGTAGACTTCAACAAAGAGCTGCTTGCTGACAGCCTTCTCGCGAGCGCATAAGTCAACGGCTCTGTTGACGTGCTCAACCTCGTCATGGAAGCGCTGCCTAACCTCTTCATTCCAGTCCGGCTCAAGGTGCATGGTGATGCGGGGCTTCTCAGCTATTCCCCGCTGAGTCTGAGGAGCTGAGGAAGATGGCTGAAGAGTGTTGGGGAGGGAGAAGGGCCTGGGGGCAAGCGTCGGTGCAGGAGCAGACCCAGAAGATAGAGGGGTGAGCGTTGAGGCAGGAGGACCAGATGGCATAAGAGACTGTGAAGGTCCAGCAACAGCGTTGCTCGACGAGACATGGTGTGCGTCTGCCGTTGTACAACCACCCAGTGCTTGGCAGCATGGCACGCAAAGGTTGTGTTCACACTTTCCCATGGTCTTTGGACCTGGCGTCGTGCGACGGCAGCCCTTCTTAGTGCAGCAAGGAGGGTAGGCATTCTTCTGAGAGGGCTGGGGAACCTGTGAGGATGCAAAGGTGGTGACATGGGACTGAGTTGGCACTGGAGGAGTGGGTTGAGGTGGTGCGGTAGGGGATAACGCTTGGTCAGAGGCAGAGGGAGCTAGCAATGATGCAGATGGACTTGGGGTGACTGAAAGAACAATAGCGGGAGGGTTCTCCGAGGGTGAAATGGTGATAACACCAGTGGGTAAGATGCCTTTCCACCAGCAGTGTCACCACTCCCGCCCCTTCTGGCCATGTGCCGGTATGTTGTCGCACTGGATGCCAGTGTATGAGAGACGCCTGCATGTATGCAAGGAGACTACTCACCATAATGTACCACTGTCCCTGGCGTGGACCATTAACCACCACATAAGGCTTGAGAAATCAGTGACAGGAACCACAGACAGCCATCCCGTTGATCATAGTGGGTTCGTACGGTTTGTTACACATGGTGGGCAAAGGCTATAGCTGCTGATGGAGTGTTGCCAAGAGAGCTGTAGATCCAGCTAGAGATCTCCGAAGACACACAAAGGCCACAAGAATGTGCTCGATCAACGAGCAGCGAGGGGGGGAAGAAAGAGAAATGGAGGGGGGAGAGACGAAGTGCAGCAGGGTTTTATCCATTGCGATAAGCGGATCTTTGGGGCATTGACACCTGCCCATCATAGCTTTGGAATGCGGGAGGATGCTAGGAGGAAGTGGCTGAGACGCGATGCGACTTGGTCACATGACTATATAGATTGCGTCATTAGTGATTCTAATCCTATCTAGTGCTACATCCGAGTGCCAAACTGAACACCCGCCGAAGCCACACCGAATGACCATGCTGAAATTTCTGATTCCCCCACGTCCTCGAATATGTCAGAGTGCGCCCAGCACCTCTGCATCGCTCCTATGCCCTTGGCACAGCAGCCCAGTGGCCTTGGTACGCTTTCCAGCATTCCAGGACACTTGGGTAAAAAGAGGTAAAACTTGCCTGTTGTGTGAGTTGAACCTAGAGCCTTGTGGTAGTGCCCAGAGCGCTGCAACCACTCAGCTATTGTGTGTTGAGGTATACTTCTGCTTGTGTCTTGTTTATACCTTCACCACCTTCCTATTCCAGTATCTCGCGACTTTGCCCCTATTTTGCCTTTCTCTACTCTTTGGCTTACTATGGAGAACTCCGAGCTACTGTACAGTTCCCAAACCTTATTTCTTTTCACCTACATAACCCTGGTGTCCACAGAGCGTCTCCTTACTTGCTCACTGTTGGACACCAGGTCAGTACCCTTGTATTTCGTCTTTATCAATACTACTTGCTCACTGTTGGACACCAGTGCCTCTTCTGAGTGTGATAGGTTATGAGCCCCC